GCAAGATTGAAAAACTTGGTTACCTCACTAAATTGCTAATACAAATGTAAAGACTAGACAAGCATAAACCTAAACTTAGCCCATAATAAAAGGCAAAGAGAAATAGATTTTGTTCTAACAAGCATGTTTCTAATGGAAGAGCAAAGAAGGAACTCAACCATGCATGCCCAGTTTCTTTCTTCCAGTTCTAGCAAGCAGGTAAGTCCCCTGTGGAGAGGAGGAATTGGACAGACAGACAGAAGCCTGAATTGTCATATTCGTGTGGATCACTCCAAAGTGAAGGAAGTAGCAGGATTTGGACAGGGTGTTCTTGTCTTTCTCCTTCACAATAATGACTTCATGCCTTTTTCTTTTCTCTACAGTTATTCAATTTGGATTTGTTACATTATTTGTGGCGTCTTTTCCTTTGGCTCCTCTTCTTGCTCTCATAAATAATATTGTAGAGATTCGAGTGGATGCCTGGAAACTTACCACTCAATACAGGAGAACTGTAGCTTCTAAAGCTCATAGCATAGGTGTTTGGCAAGACATTCTTTATGGAATGGCTGTCCTTTCTGTTGCAACTAATGTAAGTGGACCTATTTCAGTGGGGTGACTTTGTATTTCATTTTGGGGGGCACGGGGAGATGCGAATGATGCTTAATCTTTACATTGATTTCATCATGGTGATACTTTATAAAGCTAAAAGATCCCAAAATAACTGTTAAGCACTGACCAATATAGAAAAACCGATGTCATGCTAACTCTTAGAAATACAAGAACAATGACACAGTTTCACAGCATGTGACAAAGTAGACAGAAAATAAGTAACAGTATAATGTGTTTGGATAAAATAATTAAAAAATGATTATATTTGTATTTGTATACTACAGAGAATGTACATTTACCTGTTATGTTTATGAAACACTTAAAATGTAAGAAAAATAAATTTCCAAAAGTATAACTTTTACAATGCATTTTAACTTACAATATACTTTACAAATTGAAGTTGATAATAAGATAATAAAAAAGGAAAATCTAATACTTTTAAGTAGGATTCATATAAGAGAAAACAAAATTGAAATCATAGAGCTTAATTTAAATGAAAGCTTATAGGAATGAGCCAAAACCACTATTACAGAAAACTCCATTGCCATACATTTTTAATTATTAAAAGAAGACTGGAAAATGAGCTGAGTATATAACTTAAGACACTATCAAAAATTGTAAATCAAATTGATATAAAGTGGTAAAAAAGAATAAAGATGTAATCAGAAATAATCAAATTAGAAAACAAAAAGTGACATAATTGCTAAGTAAATCAAGAGCTAGACAAAGTAAGTAAAACTCTGGAAAAAAAAGTATGAGAGACTGTTGTGTACCAATTTACTCCAATATATTTTGAAATATATTTGAAATGACCACTTGTTTAGAAAGCAAAATGTCAGATCTATTCACTAAGTAATAGAAAGCCCGAATGGACCATTAGCCATAGAAATTACAATGGAATTTTTAAAGCATAGCACTAAAAATATAGGTGCCAGAGCCAGGTGGTTTTTAATTGACATATCTAACCTAAAAGAAATATGCTATTTATACTATTCCGGAACTTAGGAAAGGATGGGAAAATATCATTCCCGTGGAATCAAATACTGAAATTAATTGCACTGAACTGTGAGAAATTTGCAAACACATGATATTCAGTTTCTTCATTCCTTTCCTGTTAATCTCTTACACACACACACACACACACACACACACACACACACACACACCCCACACCCTGCAGTCCTACCTCATTGGGTTAGTCTAAGAAAGTGAATTTGGTTAAGGATAGTAGAACTGTGCTGTTAAACAATAAGAAATGTAAGAAATAGCAAGGTTTGATGGAAAGAACATGGTTCTTGGAGACAGACACATTTTGGTCTGACTCTCTACTTAGCCACTTTGTAGCTATGAAATCCTGGAATACTGATCACACACTGTAAATGAGCTGTTTTGTGTTTCAGGACAAAGACTTGCATATTACTATGATTTGTAATAGTATTTAATTATTTTGCATCTGTACAATTTATGGTACTGAGAGATGTACAAGTCAGACATTATTAAAACTAAATTGGCAGCCCATGATCTTCCTCTTTTTTTATTCTTCAGGCCTTTATTGTTGCATTTACGTCGGACATCATTCCCCGTCTAGTTTACTACTATGCTTACTCAACAAATGCCACGCAGCCTATGAAAGGATATGTGAATAATAGCCTGTCAGTATTCCTGATAGCTGATTTTCCAAACCACACTGCACCTTCGGAAAAACGAGACTTCATCACTTGCAGGTGATTTGTTTGTTTGTTTAGGTTTTAGTTTTATCCTTTAAGTGTATTGCTTAAGTTATCTATTACCTTTATGTCTTACAATATAAAGGATTCTCTTAGGGCAACAAAAATCCTGTATAAATAAATTGTATCCATTCTAGAATTCACACATTGCATGATTCAGATTTGAAAAGGTAAAATGGCAAAAACTAAGAGATTTAGGTAAAGATAACATTAATTTAAAATTTTTTCTTACTTTCTAATTTATCAAAAGGGTTTGTCACCAACAAGTGCCCCTTAGTCCAAAGCTGCAATAATCTATAGATCATACAACATTGTCATATTGTATATACATTTAACTTACTTGAATTATCTGTGTCCTCAGAAAAGAGAGTGTATGAGAGAGAAATAACAATATAATAATATGATATAATAATATGATTAGTTCACCACCTATCCTGCTAAAAGGTTTTATTCTGTATAGGGAATATAAAATTGCATATGTGAACCTACTGTTTTTACACTCAGTGTATCATGTACTATGGGATCTTTTCACCATACAATTTAAAGACATACACACACACACACACACACACACATATGCTTATCAAGGCCCCTTAATTTAAACCAGCTGTTTCATTTGAGACTCCAAAAAAAAAAAGAGCAAAATATTGCAAGACAAGCAGACATTATTTATATTGCTATATTACATATTTGAGTATAATGAAATCATAGCCTAATGTGTTTAAGAGCATGGCCAGTGGTGTCAGATTTCTAGATGTGATTACCCACTAGCTGGACTAACTATTTCAGTAAGACCAGTATCCAGTGACTTTATAGAAGAGAATGAACACACAAAGTTGGACATTAAGAAAATTTCAGAATTGTGTTAGGAAAAACACAGCAATACAACATCAGAACAGCCAAGAGAAAATAGAGTTTCAAGAAGATAGAAGTGGCCTATAATATTCTTATTTTTGAAAGTCAAATCAAAGGATTAATATATACCTGCAATTTAAGGATAGGAGAGAAGGAAAGGATTGGGAGTGTTAAGGAGTGGGAAAAGAGGAAGTGGAAGCAGCAAATTTTGAATAACTTATTTGAGAAGCTTGTCTTTGAAGGGCAAGAGAGAAGTTTTACTTGTGTGTTTCTTCTTAGGTCTGTTTTGCATGTAAGTAGCATATACCCTGACTTTATGTGAACAAGAAAGATAAATGTTTCATAATATCAATTAACTTTGACCTGATTTTTCTGATCAGCTAGACAGGTCTGTTAAGAGAAATAATAAGAAATTATATTAGGTCTCTCTAGTTGAAGCTATAACTTTTTTTTTTTTTTTTTTTTTTTTTTTTTTTTTTTTGCATTTACTTCCACTTTTCAGGTACAGAGATTACAGATATCCTCCTGATGATGAGAATAAATATTTTCATAATATGCAATTCTGGCATGTCCTTGCTGCCAAGATGACCTTCATCATTGTTATGGAAGTAAGCTGTTCTTAACTTTCATTCCAGTTACCCTCCTCTCTTTAGGCAGGTATTTCCAAAGGTAACCTCTCATCAGAAAGTTAGCAATATCTCAATAAATTGTCTTGAAGGAAGTATTGTATTTGTTGTCATAAAAAGAACCTTAGGGATATTTTCAGTACAATGGATTGCCTATTACTCACTTATTGCTGTTGAACATGTCATGGGGACAGAAAAGGAAAGGAAAACAAATACGGTCTTTTTCCCTTGAAGTCAGGAAAAGGGGAAATAACCCACAGATTTTACGGAGTACCTATTATTTACTAGTTCCAGAGGCTGTATTAAATCATAACAATATTGTAAATTAGACCTTATCGCTCACCTTTGAAAAAGGAATCTGAGATTCAGCAAAAATAAGTAGCTGGCTTAACGTTAACTAACTAACATTAATGCTGGGTCTCAATGCCAAATGTGCCTCACTCCCAAGTTTGTACTGTATCTATTATTTTTATGCTTCCTCTCTTGTGGAATATCTAGTGTAATTATAGAGATAAGGCATGGAAGAAAAGGTAACCAATACAGAGGCAGTATTGGACAAAGTTTCAAATTGAGTGATACAAATCATATGGCAAGAAGGCCGATCAGGGAGAGAAAAGTAAAATAAAGGCACTTTTTCACCCTGGATAAAGCCCAATAAAAGACAATCCTAACCCAAGAGCATGCCATTCCAACCAGTTTCTGTTTAATTTATTTTTATTGTTATCAAGGTTTCACATGTAATTTAAAAAATCAAATAGTTCTGCATGGCAAAAAAACAAAAGAGCAATCGTACATAATATTCCTGCCTACCCTAAAATTCTAATATCCCAAGTAAACATCTCAACTTTTTTAACTCACTCTTCTAGTAGTTACCCTTGTATGGCAAAAGAACATGATTTCGCAGTTATATGTTTTTATTTTTTAGTTTTAGGTATCAATTACTGACATTCTACTTTGGCAGATCTCTCACACACACACCCACACAGAGAGAAAGAGAGAAGGGAAAAAAAAAAACTTTCTCTTTCTCCTACCGCTCAATAATTAAAGCATTTTTTTTGTCTTATTCTGAAATTCAAAACCTCAGGAAAGAGGAAGTATTTTGATAACTTATTTAGCAGCAATATATGATCTAATTTAAGGCTTTTGATAGCCTTTATTTATTATTTTTAGAGTGACTCTTCATTTACTTTGCTGCAGAAATATTTAAGTGTTTGATACAGAGTGCCACCTGAGACCCTGCTGTTTATATACTAAATTACATATTTTTGATATTTAATCTCAATTCTGAAATATTTCTGTCCATCAGTTTTGAGTAAGATATTTTATATAAATACAATAGTCAGGGTTTATAAATATGACTTTATAAATATTAGTCACATCTGTTTCCTGTCTTACATTCTGAACATATTTCTTTTATTATAATATTGCTTTTCTTTTCTCCCTCTGTCTCTTAGTTCTTTATGAATTTATCAGTCTTTCATTCCAACATTTTGCATCAGAAGTTTAGATCACCTTTCAGCCAGAACATTAGTTCAGGAATTCTTTTGTTTTAATTTATTTATTATTTGTATTAATTTTTTGTAATAATTGCAGGCTCCAACCAAGCATCATCCTGG